TTTGTGGTTTTGTTCTCCAAAACCTTGAAATGAAGATACATATTTGAAAAAGCTGATGAATTCAATGTGTCAAGCTTCCATATAAATAGGTAATAAGTAGTGTAGATTTTGTAGTGTTAGAAGAAATATACTCAAGGTGCTAAACTCAAATCTTAGACAAGATGTCTTTATATCTTACAATTTGTTCACTGCTGAGAAATTGCCTGATATTTTAAGACAGAACTTTTCTTGAACACGATTGATAGCCCAAGTATTGTATCAGACTAGTTAATTATGTTATATCCTCCAAGAAATTCAAAATTGTTTAACTAAATTTGTATTTGGCAGGCAGAGCACCATTAAACTTCAAGGGGGTCAGCCTGCTGGAAAACAGAAATTTTATTTTTCCAATGCTCATTACAATTGATGCCTTGACACTTTATGAAATAGATTGTGGAATTTGGATCTTTCTTTACTCCTTTAATCATATTCCAAAGAAGTAAAGCTGATCATTTTCTACCTACAACATACTGAATTATTATTTTAATGTAGTAATTTCTTTTTACAACTTCTTAAAGCATAGAAAATACTGCTATTGTTTAGAAATGGTAATAACAGCAAGGTGCTATTGAGAGATTATTCTGATATAGTTGATTTTAAAAGAAAAGTAAATTGTTTTTATTATTGAGCATTATCGAAGGAACATTATTTTTCTCAACTAATGGTTACTGCAAACCTAGGCTAAAGTAAAGACATCACAGTGACTTAAACAGTGTTATATGATTTAACAGCACTAGGTAAGGGGAAGAGGTTAAAGAGATAGGAAGCCATGGAGAACTGGCTGAAAAAGGTCAGATTTTGTCCCATGAATAGCAGGCCAGGTCTTTGAAACAAAGATCATTGCTATCTGGTCAAATACTTCACTTTAAATATAATAATGACTCTTGGCAAGCATAAATAGATAATACGTTTTTAAAATGTTTACATTTATGCTTCTACCATAACGCTGTTGGAAAATAAAGTATCCAAGCTGTAAAAATATTATCAACTTATATAAATTTACTTTATTTAGTTTCATTCTCAGTGCAAGTTTTCCTGCTTCTGTGTGATTCTGCGATCTTACAGTCACATCAACACAGACCACAACTGTCCCTATCAGCAGTCACAGCACATGGCTTTAAAAAATACAGTATTTAATACGGGCAGACCTTGCACTGCACTGACTTGGTGTCAGATGGCTCCTCACTGTCCTTCTGCTGCTGCTCCACTGTCAAATTTGCACAATTGTAGTTTCTCATTTATATTGGGTGCTCTTGCAAAAAATTCCTAAAAATGCCGTATTTTTTTCCTGCTTTAAACCCACATACAATGCTGATCATTTACTCTAATCATTCATGCATGTTTTGATGGGCTACATTTTAAATACAATGGGATGTTTTTCTTTGCTGAATATTAAAAACGGATCCTTCCTTTACTCATTTTACCAGCACGTGCGGCATCAGATCCTCAGCAACGACTGTCCCTTATCATGTATGGATGTGCAATCACCTCTTTTCTCCTTACTCAGGCCTTTTGTTACCATGATTTTGTGTGCACTTGAGGTCCTATGCTTCCTACTAAAAACAAATCCGAGAAGGATTTCATTTTGAATGAATTTTCAATAAGTTAATGGAAAGCAATAAGTATAAACAATAAAACAAAAACCCCTTTGGGCCCTCTCCTATTCGCCCCAATAGTGTAACTTCTGCCAAAAAGGCTTTTATCTCCACTCCTCCTCCTTCTTCAGACAATCCACAGCACACATCTCTAATTATATAGCTGTGTGTTGAATCACAATGCACTGTTTATTTCTTCAAAGAGTGTTAGAATGTGTGATTGTTAGTTTAATTTATTGCTTATGGTTATCAGCAAGGTCCCAGAATGGCAGAAACCGTGTTTATTTTGTCACTATCAAGGCAGAGGCAGAAAGTAGATTTCCCACACAGAGGAGGGCCTTTACAAGATGGAAGATAGGGGCCTCCCTGGTGGCGCAGGCGGTTGAGCGCCGCACTGTGAAGCTGTCGGCGGCCTCTGCTGCGCGGGTTTGATCCTGGCAGGCAGGTGGGAATCCCACATGGCGCGGCAGACCTCTCCTGTCTCACCCTCTGCTCCCCTCAGAGGTGTCTTTCTGTCGGTCTGCCTGTTCTATTCCCTGCTCTGTCTCTGGTGAATCCTCTCAACCCCCTGCATCTCTGGCCTGTGCCCCAGCTCTTGTATGCATGAATAAATAAACAAAAAAGAAATATGCTGAGTAATATAAATATAGATTATAGACTCATTGTGTTTAGTTAGTTATGTACTATATTCAAAAATACCTTCCTGTACTAGTATGTAATATTGTAAATAATCATGGTAGCTTGATGGAATGGTAGCTTGATGGCATGGTGCCACTGAGGTGCAATTGATACAAAATACTGAACGTATTTAATGTATCAGATCTACAATCTGATGAGTGTGGACATATACATACACCCTTGAAACCCTATCCATCTGCTCCAAGAATTTCCTTGTGCTCACCCCTATTTTGCTTGGTAGTAAGAACAATGCAAAAATCAGTATAAGAAAGCAAAGAGTCAGTAGCATTAAAATATTTGTTCATACATCAAAGGCTTCATGCTACAATCACTGACAAATGTTTTCACAGTCACATGAAATAAAAAATGAAAGGCACACGTGTGTAGGGAAGATGAATGCTTCAACAAACACACATAAGAATTAAATATCCCCATTTCCACTGGCTTGAGAAATTCTTTAGAACTGGAAATACTATTCAAGTTCAAGGACTGAATGATTAAACCCCACTCAATTTTGTTTAGTCAGATGTGAAAAAGTACATAGTTAATTGGTAGGCAAGATCTCAGTGTACCAGAATCCAATTATAGAGTCTTCAAAACACTAGTGAAGTAAAATTTAATGGGACATTTTTAAAGACATTACAGTTTTATGGTACTGATTTATTTTGAAAAATAGCAAGGATAAATGTAAATTTAATACGGTGAAATGAATTTTCTATCTTCATTCTGGACTTCCAAGCAAAATAAATATTATGAAATAGTGAATAGCTCATGTATGAGTATATATAAATAAAGATACACATATATACTTAGTGTGCTTCTAATTAAGGGTTCCTTTATTCTTTCCCTTTTTAATATTTTTCTTAGTTTATTAATGAGCCACGAAATTTGGTCAGTTGTATTAACACTGCCCTCTGAATTGCAGTAAATGAAGTGAATAATTACTCCAAATAAGCACTAATTCAAATTTGATTGGACATATACCAATGCTAACTAAAAATAATTACAACCACAAATCTATATTATTATCATAAGTATAATAAGGAGTTAATTGGTTTGGCTTTTCTACTGAATACTTGGTATAATGTGTTTTTTCCTACAACTGAAAGTGATATACATTTAATATTATATAATCTTTTTTCCCCAATGCATACAATCACTTTTCTCCAGCTTATTTTGTAAATTATTGGCATAATGAAACCCCTTCAGCTGATTAAATAGATGGCTCATAGGAGACAGTTTATGATCTCTAACTATATAAAAGCAAATGAAATAATGAGAGGAATTAACATCATGAATGTAAAATGTTATCTGAGATTATTTATATCAGAAAGTCTTATTTGATAATAAAAATGGGTAAACTTCTAGAACCACATAACTTCATTAATTTATAGGTTAGCCTGCATGTTTTAAGTATTTGTTTAAAGGAAAAGATTCCACTTACTGGATCTTCAGTATGTTGCTATTCAAATAAAGTAATAGGTATATATATTGGTAAGAAAGTTTTGTGCTTACCAATTAATTTCTTTTGCCATGTAACTGGAAAGCTGTTTTCAGTTCCTTTATAAGGCTTTGTAATTACTAAGGTCTTGTTCCATCTGGCCTGTGTTGTGAAATCTCATTTTTAGCAGCCAGGTAATCACTTCTTGAGCAATTCCTCTGCACCCAACCCTGACACCAGAATATGTAATAAGAAAAAGTTGACTGAATAAATGCACCTTTATAATGTGAATTGTTTTTTATCCATACGTGTCTGCTCAGGCACTGGGCCATAATATCTTTAAGGACAAGGACCATGTCTGATTCATGATATTTTATTTTTAGAACTTATCTGATTTATTAATCATAGAGAGAAATTAATCAGTTGGATTTCTTTCTGATTGCAAGTAACAGAAAAATCAACTGTCAGAGTGTATAGAAACATAAGTATTCAGAGTAAGGAACCCAAGTTCTGCTTTCTAGGTTTCATGCAGCAGTTCAATCAGTAAATCAAGCTCTCATCGTCTTTCTGTTCCTCCATTTTATTTATTTTTTAAAAGATTTATTTATTTATGCATACAAGAGCTGGGGTTCAGGCCAGAGGTGTGGGAGGTGAGAGAATTCACCAGAGACAGAGTGGGGAACAGAACAGGCAGGTTGACCGAAGTACACTGCTGAGGGGAGCAGCGGGTGAGGCAGGAGAGGTCTGTTGCTCCCTGGCTGGCCAGGAATCGAACTCATGCTGCAGTGGCTGCGGATAGCTTCATAGGTTGCATCTTAACCCTTGCGCCACCAGGGAGGTCCCATTTTATTTTTTGTTAAGATTTATTTTATTTATGCAAGAGTTGGGGTGCAGGCCAGAGGTGCAGGGGGTGAGAGGACTCACCAGAGACAGAGTGGGGAACAGAACAAGCAGATCTACTGAAATCCACTGCTGAGGGGAGCAGCGGGGAGACAGGAGAGGTCTGCTGCGCCATGTGGGTCAGCTCCCTGGCCAGGGGTCAAACTCAGGGCCACAGTGACTAGTGATAGCTTGAGAGTGCTGAGACTTTAACCCCTGCACTACCAGGGAGGCCCTGCTCCAACATTTTAAAAGTAACAGGATGACTATTATGCTCTCCTTCTTCCAGATCCTGTCCTTGTTCAGACAGCACAAAACCAGAGGATACGGGGTTTCTCCTTCTGACATTCTCCTATTTTTCTAAACAGGAAAGCTACCTGTTAGACACCCCCTCACAGCTCATCAGCAGAGGTAAGTCCCTGCAGCCTGAGACTCCTGAGTGGTCCAGGAGGGGGAGGTCAACATGAAGAGGTAGACCAGTGATGACTTAGCCTCTGGGATGGGGCTTGTCCTCCCACAGATCAATAGATGTTGCAGTCCACCTGGACAAGTGCGCTGTTATGAGGGAAAGCAGATCACTGAGTGGTTAATGGACACCTATGTTATAAGTATCTCCTGAATGGAATTGGCTTTGTTAACATGAATGATTCATGCCACACACTATTTCCAATTGCATCTTCATATATTTACTTGTATGAAAATATTCAATGTGTGCGGTTTCTATTTTTTTAGGATAATACAGGTGCATACACTCCTATATCTGTTTAGTTACACAGGAGAGGAAAATATGCACTATTGAAGGATGCACTGTTTTCATCAACTTTTTAAAAAATTGCTTATAGAATTATAAGAGACATTCAAATGTTTATTCTATTCCCTGTCTTAGGCCTGAGAAAATAAATATGAATCTGGATTCCATTCACCGGTTAATCGAGGAAACGCAAATCTTCCAGAGACAGCAGCCCTCACCAAAATCGCCCAGTGATGCGGTGGCACCTGCCTCGTCCCCGCGGGAGCCTTGCAATCCCTGCTGGCCCCTGCAAGGCCTGCATGCGCCCCCCGCACCTGGCACCTGCGCGCACCTGCGCGGCCCCAGCGAGTGGGACATCTATGAAGAGCTTCGCCGGCGCGAGCTGGATGAAGTCAAGGCCAGAGCAGCTCAGATGGAGAAGACCATGCGCTGGTGGTCGGACTGCACCGCCAACTGGAGAGAAAAGTGGAGCAAGGTTCGAGCCGAGAGGAACAGCGCCAGGGAGGAAGGGAGACAGCTCCGAATCAAGCTGGAGATGACCATGAAAGAACTGAGCGCTCTCAAAAAGAAACAAAGCGTGGCACAGCCAAAGGAGGCGCGAGAAGCTGAGGGGAGCCAGGGCCTGAGGACCCCCGGCTGCGGGGACGCGTCCTGGGCGCCAGGAGACCAAGGTGGAGAGGGGCCGTGCGCGCCCGCCGGAGAGGGCTGGGCGCAGAGGGAGCTTCCTGCAAAGAGCGCAGACAGCAAGGTAAGGGGGGATGCATGGAAGAATTCAGAGGCCATCGTGGGCGTTGTTACTGTCACCCCATCTGGGTTATTATGTATACTGAGTGCCATCCTTAGCCATGGGGAGAATGGGGAATGACAAGACCAAGGGGATTGTTGGGGTGCCCTGGCAAAGGACGGTAGCCTGGAAAGCGTGAGCAACAGAAATTTGTTTTCTCAGTTCTGGCGGCTGGAAGTCCACGATCAAGGGATCCGAAGGGTTGGCTGCTTCTTTTTTTTTTAAATACATTTTATTTTTATATTCCCCATACAATTGCAACCCCCTTATTTTGACCCCAATCCCTCCTCTCCCCGCCCCCCAACCCCCATAGAGTGTCTCTGGTTCATAGTTGTTTGTTGATTTTGATTTTCACTTTCTTATAGTTATTCATTTTCCTGGTCCCTTATTTAAGTTTTCTAGATTCCTGCTATGAGTGAGACCATCCGGTATTTTTCTTTTTCTTTTTGGCTTATTTCGCTGAGCATGATCCCTTCCAGCGCCATCCATGTTGCTGCAAATTGCATGTGTTTATCTTTTTTGAATGCTGAGTAATATTCCATGGTATATATGTACCACATCTTCTTGACCCAGTCATCTATTTTTGGGCATTTGGGCTGTTTCCAAAGCTTAGCTATTGTAAACAGTGCTGCTATAAACATAGGGGTGCAGGTGCTCTTTGGAATTGGTGTTTCTGTGTCCTTTGGGTAAATACCTAGGAGTGGAATTGCTGGATCCTATGGAAGCTCTATGTTTAGTAGGTCCAGAAATCTCCACACAGCTCTCCATAGGGGTTGGACCAGTTTGCACTCCCACCAGCAGTGCAGGAGAGTTCCTTTTTCTCCACATCCTCGAGGGTTGGCTTCTTTTTGAGACTGGTAGGAAACTCAAATAGTTCAAAAAGTCTACTAAAAATTCAAGAGTTTATTGAAAATGTATTGTACCTTATCCTCCCATGATGTTAAAAAATAACCAGTTGGTTTCATTTGGAAACTTTCAAGTGTTCTGTGACAAAAGAAACTTGAAAGAGGAATGAATAAACTCATTAAATTGCTCCTTATAGCTATTCAAATTTATTCAGTGTTATTTTTAGCTCTGATAGGAAAAACCAACTTTAAACTAAAAGTTAAAGCAGACCTTTTGAGAAATGTATTCTATTATAATAAGGTAAAGCAGTGAAAGAAAAGTGATAGTTGAAGAATGCAAATACGAGTTTGGCCATATAACATTATTAGAGAATGACAAAGAAATGAAAATTTGCTGCTGAATAATAACCCCCCTCAAAAGAAAATCTGCTTCATGATTTTTCTAGTAAGAAAGAGAACATTTCCACAGTAATAACAGTTTTATGCTTCTTTTCAGGAAGAAAGTTTGATTATCGATACTCTCAGATTAAATGAGGAGCTGAAGCTCAACCTAGATTATCCTGATTTATTCAAAAATGCTGGTTCTGAAAACTGTACAGTGAAACCTGGATTAAGACTTCAAGAGATAAATCTGCCTTTGGAGAATGAAGTGCTTGAAATTTCAGCTTTGCAGGGGCAGTTGGATGAATTCCAAAAAATCTCATGGAAGGAAAGAGAGTAAGTGCTAATTATTGTCTCCAACCAAGTCTGATTTTCAAACCTCTTAAAATTAAGTCTAGTTAACTTGTGCTTGATAATGTATTTCACCTGTGATTAGTCATTAACTTCTAAGGTTCAAAAAATGAGTTTGACATATAATTTACTTTATAAATTTTAAAAAGTCATCTATGATTTGGTAGTTTTTATCACTTTTATCATAATCTTGTTCTTATATCTCTTATTATTCCAAGATTAATTACATTTGAATTTTTAATGTATGTGGTTTAGAAAACCCTACTTAGTTTCCTAAGTTCTACAAAATTAGTAGACTTCAATGAGTCAACTGAAGTGAAATATATGTTAATATTAACAATGGGCAAGTCAAATTTTGTAAGGTTGATCACAGAAAATGTTGCTTTACTCATTGGTCATTTGTGGTGAAAGAGGGGACCCTGAACTTGACACTAAATGACCTGGATTAAGCCACCTGGATATCCATCCTGGTTCTGCCATTCCGTCTGTGATGTTTCATTAACCAAGACTGTGCTGTTGTCTCTTTTGAGAAATACCAATAGCTTATGGTCCAGTTACCTGTGGGTGTGTAGCCCAGCTTCCCACACGGTGGTTATTGTTGAAACAAACACCTATTTACTCATGAATCTTGAACAAGAACCCATGTTAACAATTTTACTGGAACAATAGGTCTCAATCAGGTTCTAAGCTCAGCATCTTATTTTTAGAAGGATTTTACTTTTTGGTGCTTACAGAATTCTGTCAACCCCCTTTCATAACGCTACTCTGTCGATGTATTTAGTAGGAAGTACATGAACCTAGGCCTCCAGAAGTGACCCCCTACACACACACACCCCAGTCCCAACTCTCCCGGGTAACCACAGTCACTCGTCTCCAAGGCTCTCACTCGCACACATGTGCAGACATACAAATTTTGACTTCCTTGGAATAAAGTAATAAGCCTCTGTCACTTTACAACCTAGGGAGCAACCCTGTGAAATCTGAACCGAGTGCAAGCAGAGACCAAGAGGCAGAACACTCCAGGCTGGAAGGTGACTGTTAGCTGGATGCCACCAGCGTCCTGTGTTTCTACCAAGACTATAATAGGTTTCAGCCACTTGCACAGGCCAGGTGGTGTCAATAACACAGTAGTCTCCCAGAGTCACATCCTTCAACCCATTCCTGCTGGGGGCATGGCAGGTGAAACATATAATCCAAGGATGGGGAGGAGGGGTTGAGCTCAGATTTCCCAGGTCAGCTTGAAGGTTAACTGAAGGTCAAGTCTCTGCAGTGCTTCCTTCAGCATCCCCACAGGATGCAAAGGCTCCGGTTGTCAGCACTTTTTTTTTTTTTAATTGTTGTTGACTATTTTCTTTTAAGATTTATTTATTTATTTTTTATTTATACAAGCACTGGGTACAGTCAGAAGCGCGGGAGGGTGAGAGAATTCACCAGAGCCAGAGCGGGGAGCAGAGCAGGCAGAAGGACCGAAGCACACTGCTGAGGGGAGCAGCGGGCGGCAGGAGAGGTCTGCGCGCCATGTGGGACCCTCCTCCGGTAGCCGGGGAGCAGCCGGGGATCGAACCGGCACTGCAGAGGCTGCGGGCAGCTTCGCAACCCAGCGCTCAACCGCTGTGCCACCGGGGAGGCCCTGTCAGCACGTTCAATGTAGGAGCATCGACAGGCTGCAGAGTGTGGGGGCGGCGGGACCTCTGATCCACATTGTGATGATTCTGCACTTAAACAGCCCCACGTTTCTGAGTCCCAGCGCGTATATTAGCCTGCAATCCATGCAGCAATTGCCAAGCCTTGTTTCAACCACAAGAGAAAGTTTCCCAAGGATATAGTGTATACTGTTGCTATAAATCTATCAGAGCTTTTAAATTCTTCCCCTGGAATCTCAGCAAGTACGTGGCTTGACCTAAGAAAATGTGAATGTAACTTGGTGTAGGGTCAGGAATCGACACGGTGCAGGTTTTCTAATATCCAGCAGACCGGGTAAAGAAGGAGTCCTAGAGTCCTCATGGCTTTTGCAGGTTTTTTATTTAACCAGGTACACGGCAGGCAGGGGCGCTGGGGGGCCGGGAGGCTGGCAGGCCTCCCAGCCCCCAGCAGGTCTTCACTCTGGGCTCTCCGGCCTTCTCTCGGCTTCTGCTTCTCTTGCTTCTCAATTTGCTTCTGCTGCTTCTCTCTCGGCTTCTCTTTTGGCTTCTGCTGGCGTCCCTGTGATGCCGCCCTTAAATGCCCAGTCTTAGCCCAGGTGAATCCCATCTACCTATGCCCACACCCTACTCCAGGTGCCCGCCATCAGGCATGCGTTCAGAACCTCAAGGATGCACCATCTATCCTGATGGCGGGAGGGCAGAAAAGCCTGACATTTTTCCTTACCCCACACTTGACCTTTGTTTCTAGCAACTAGGGGATTGTGCTGGAGGAGCATGAGTCAACTGGGGGGGAGTCTCTCCACCCAGCCCATTAAACTTTATTTTAATAATATGACTTGCAATCTGAGTACTGTTCACCTTTATGAAAAATTATCCCAGTTCTGAAAGATCCTTATCATGGAGAATTTGTAGACTTCTGACCAACCTCTTAGCTGAAGACTTCCTGGGTAGAGGATTTGAAGTGAAAGTGAGAACCTGATCCTCCCACAGTCAGGTATTCTGAATGTTTAGGAAGAGGTGCTTTGGGGTTACCAAGCCTTCAGCCAGGGAGACAGTGAGGTCAAATGTTTGTACTACACTGTGTTTCACATTTAGAACTAGTTCTCAAATTGAACTACAGAGGGCACTTGTATTCCTCAGAAAATGCTTTGTGTCATTCAAGCTTAACCTCCAGTATCCCATTCAATTTCATTTTCTTAATTTATTTCCTGTGTATGAAAATTAAATTACTTCAATTACTTTGCTTTGCTTCATTAAGTGAAGATTTTTTAAAATAAAATGATAGTTAAGATCTTGATGAGAAGATGCAGAAAATTATGCTTCAGAGATTAGCTGGAGCTAGAAATGTATGTGTTTACAACATATATTGTACACACTATACAATATATAGGCTGTATATTATATACATATATTTGTGTATACTATACAATATATAATTCGTTCCTCAGTACAATGAACAAATGGGCATTCAAGTCTGATAAGTATAATTTAATGTAATATTAAAAAGTAGAAAGTGAAGCATATGTTTATTTATTCACTGTCACAAATGGGACATGCAGTAAATTCTTGCCATTGTAAAAAGTACCTTGTGGTATTTATTTTTCCAGCTTTGTGGAAGTTTTATTGACAAATATAAATTTGGCATATATTTAGGGTTTGTGGTGTGATGTTTAGATTAGAAGTGAAAAGGTGTTCCCAGTAAGCTAATTGGCATATCCTCACCTCACAGTTGTCATTTCTGTACGTGCAGTGAGGACACTTAGGATCTATCCTCTTAGCACACTTCAAGTATACAAAAGAGTATTGGCGGTTCTAGTCGCCAGCTTCTACAGAAGATCCCAAGACTTTTTTCTTATAACTGCTTGTCCGCACCCTTGACCAGTATCTCTGCATCCCACTGCTTCTGCCAACCTCTTTACTCTTTAGTTCTCTGACTTTAGCTTTTTAAGATTCCACATATGAGCAGATCATATGGTGTTTCTCTGTGATTTATTTCATCAGCGTAATGGCTCCATTTCACCCATGTGACTGAAAAAGTATCATCATCCTTTTTTTTTAATGACTGAATATTTTTTTGCTACATTTTAAAATATATCCATGATGATGAACACAGGTTTTCTATATCTTAGGTATTGTCAACAATTTTGCAAAGAACAGGAGGGATGGAGACATCCCTTTGGTATTGGTGTTACTTCTTTTGGGCCTATACAGAAATAGGACTGCTGGATCATATGGTGGTGGTTTATTCCTTTTTTTTTTTAGAAACTCCACTTGGTGGACATTTACTGCTATTTTTATAGTGCATGCACAGACTGTCTCTTTATTAGATAGAGGATTACAAGTAAACAATTTTCTTCTGGAAAAAAACGTTAATAGATCTTTAGGAAAATATTTATTAGATATTTTACAATGAAATTTCAGTTTCAAAATGATTAATCATTATTCCCAGATGCTAATTTTTAAGGAATTGTCATCCCTGAAAATACTTTAATTTTCTTGTCTAACTCTCCAAATTTTATGTGCAGCCACCATGTGATGATGATATTTAACAAAGTATCAAAATGTTGCAGATGAATAAACAAGAGTGCATAGAAATATAATCATATTTTCCATAAGAATCACTTTGGTTCACATTTTATATTTTGGATCTTGCAAACTTTATATATTCAGTGATCTTATTCTTAAAAGTTTATATTATCATTTAAAAATACTCTTCTGTTGAGTTTTACATATTTAATTTTGTTTTCTTAAAGAATTTGCGCATAAGCTATGGAATATACTTTACAGTAAAATTAGGTCTTTTTTCCTATGTCTTGCTGTTCAAATATTTTGACATAGTTTAAATTTCAATTATAAACATCACTGTATGAATAAGCAATTTAGAGAATCTAATAAAATCTAAATTGAATAATTCGATTAGCCAAAAAATCAAGGATTCAAGGGTGCCCTCTGCTGTATAAAGTTAAATGTGCAGTGACACAAAATGATTCTTGATGTGACCAAAATAAAAAATAGATACAGGGGCCTCCCTGGTGGTGCAGGGGGTTAAGCACAGCACTGTGAAGCTGTCCACCGCCTTTGAGGTGTGAGTTTGTTCCTGGGCCTCCAGACCTCTCCTGTCTAGCCCGCTGCTCCCCTCAGCAGTATATTTCGTCAGTCTGCCTGTTCTGTTCCCCACTCTGTCTCTGGTGACTCCTCTCACCCTCCATGACTCTGGCCTGTACCCCACTTCAAAAAAAAATAATAAAAAATAATAAAAAATAGATACAAATATCACATTAATATTAAAACGTTTTTTTACAAATCACCTTTCCCCTCTCTTCTAGGACTAAATTGTACCTTTTCACAGTAGAAGAGTACATGGTTTTCTTTGGGTAAACTAATAAATACCAGTTATTTAATTTAGGATGCATACTTAAAGAGATAAATAATAGTATATATATATTTTAGATTTATTTATTTATTCATATAAGCACTAGGTAGAGTCAGAAGTGCGGGAGGGTGAGCGAATCCACCAGAGCCAGAGCAGGGAGCAGAGCAGGCAGACTGATGAAGTACACTGCTGAGGGGAGCAGCGGGCGGCAGGAGAGGTCTGCGCGCCATGTGGGACCCTCGCCAGTGGCTGGGGATCGAACCGGCGCTGCAGAGGCCTGCAGCCCAGCGCTCAACCGATGAGCCACCGGGGAGGCCCAATAATAGTATATTTTTAATGTTACTATTCTTCCTAAAGAAGGAAGGTAAATAGGTATCTATTCATTTTAATATACTTGGACAAAGTTATATTATTTTTATCTCATAGTAGGCTTTAAATAGTAATTCTAAATCTAGATATATTCTAGATATAACCAAGAAATAATTACATCTTTAGACATACCTACATTTATGGATAACTAAAACAAATTAATATATAATTTGAAATGTTCCTCTTGAACTTATTACAAAAGCTTTGAAGGAAGAGTTGCCTCAATAATTCTAATAACAATTTTGAGAATTAGCATTTATTTACAGTAATAATAAAATCATTTTAAGTTGAACAGTAATCATTTTCATGTTAATGTGAACATTTTTGTTAATATTATCATTTGATTTATTAAAGTATAATGTAAAAAAACTAACATTGCTTTTTCAACATGTTAATTATGAATTTGTGAAATTAAGAAATCTGAATTTTCCAACACTTTCAAATTGTCCTATTTAGAAATAAAATGATTCTCCAAATGATTTTTGAGAGAATTTAGTGATGTATGCTTCATCACACAAATATAGTTAATTAACACCCTTCAAAATTCTCTTACTAATTTAATAGATGCCATTCCTTTAAAAATTTTTATTATCAACAGAAAGCATTCCTGTTTTCTACTAATATAAGTCTAATAAATTAAAATAACAAATATGGTGATTCTTAAACATTTCAAGGAAGTTACAATCAGTATAATTGCGATTTAAATTCACAAGTCTAGGTCAACATTACTCATTACTGAATATGCCTTTATACAGAATTTCAAAAATACCCAAATGGCAAATAAATATCTTACTATACAATAATTTTTACATTCTTTCTCTATTTCTTTCTGTATTTCACACAAAATATTACTACTTATCTGCCTATTATTTCTGCACTTAATTCTATTCTTTTTGAAATTCCAAACTCGGTCTCTAAGAACTTAGGTGTTGCACGCTGCTGGGTTGACTCATGTCTCAGAAGTTTGTACCGAGGTTGTCAGCCTGGAGCAGGAGACATTCAGGGCAGTGCTTATAAGAGAGAGACTTTTATACTCAGCCTTTTTGTTTGCTGATTTTAATGTATTTTCTATATTAATATTCCAAATTGTAGTGCTGGTTGTTTTTGCAACCTGAGTCTTTTGAGGTTAAATTAAGCCCTAATTTGTTCATATTCTTTTAATTTTATGTCTCGATTCAAGCAAAAGCAATTATGTAATTCTTTAATGGACTGCTTAGCCATGTCATTGCATTAAGCAAATATATTTACAGCTTAATTCTTTTTGAATTATTTTCTTCGTAGGATTGCTACCTGGAAGAGTCATCCTTATAGTAATGTAAATGGCTTTCAATTTTCGTTCTGGCAGGCATCTTCTAGCTCCGTGAATGCTTCTAAGGTTGTTCTAGTAACATCATCTTTGAAATAGATCCATGTGTATGGACCTACTCTAAGTGCAATAAGGCTGTAACTAACAACCCCGGATTCTTAGTGGCACTTGAGTTGCCTGCTGTCTGGAGGCTGGCTGATCTAGACTGGGCTTTTGAGGGGAGACTCTTGTAGAATCCACTTTCTCATGCTCCCATTCTGAGCAGGGGCCAGCCCTGTAAGTACTTTGAAAACAATGACCAAAATACAAGAGATAAGAGGGAAAGCCCAATTTTACAGACTTTTAAGTGTCTGGCTGCACTGCAGACTGCTCACCAGCTTTCCCTGGGTCCTGTCAGACACATTTTCTGCTTGCAAGACATGGAAAGTGAGTTTTACCATGTTTCATCATGAAATAGCACATTGTATTATTTTCCCAATTTCTTATGTTCTGTCATCATTTTTCCAGCCCCCATCCTGTCTCTAGTCCCTGACTTTACTCTTTCTCTATTTTTTTCTTTTGTGTTAATACAGGATTCCACTTTTAAATAGCATTATCTGCATTAAAAAAAAAAAGAAAAACAACGAACAATTCAGTGTCTTAAGACAATGCTTTCTTTTGCCCGTGTGGGTGCAAGGAGGGTGGGGCCAGGGGGCCCCACGGGACCTGCTGTGCTTGGCTCCCTGGTCAGCTGGGGCTGGGGTCTGCTTCATGTCTTGGTTCCAGGGCAGCAGTTACTGGGGGAATCTTTCACAGTGATGGCTGCCGCATAAAAGAGCCAACCTCAAGAGGTCTTCCAGCTTCTGCATCTGTACCATGACTGAGGTCCCCTGGCCAAAGCCGAGGATTGTGTACCAGGGGGTGCAAGAAAGAGCAGGCACTTTCGAACAGTAATCTAATCACACAGATGAGAGCCTGCCATCTGCAAAGGTCAATAGATGCTAATTACAACCAGAAATAAACAATTATTTTCGGCGACTCTAATAGGCATGTGGGCATCGGGAAAAAAAAAATCAATGATTAAGATATCCAAGGATCAGAGTTTAATCTTATTTCGTCACTTTTTCTGCAAGTGGAAAAATTAATTTCAGTTATTCAAAATGACAAAGATACCAGAAAAATTGCTTCATTAAAACAAAATTGCAAATGTTTTAAAAGTATTTTTACATCTCCATTTAGTGATTGATTTCTTAAATTGTTAGGTAGTCTCCTTGATATGCTCTGTCATATCAAGGAATTCTTCATTCATATTCAGTCACAATATAAAGCTAGATTTAAAAATATTAAAATTAGAAACATATTCTTCTATGTAAGGGAACAAAATGAATAAAGATGCTTTGAGAGAAATGCATGACTAAAACGGGAGAAAGCAGACAGAAAGTCAATTATTTTGATACTGGCAAACTAAATGTGCTTAACCTACTGTAAAGTTAATTGACAGAATAACAAATGAACTCAAGTTTTATTCAGTATTTGTAGTTTTTAATAAGTGGGAATAAGTTTTCTGTCATTACAATAGACAATAAAATATCAAACATTAGGGAAAGAGAAAGTCTATTCTTCTCCAATTATAATGCATTCTTCAAATTATTTGTAATTTGTAAGCCTAGTTTCTTTTAATTCCTTATTTAGAATGCGTTCATCTTTGGAGAAAGAAATAGTACGGCTAGAATCAGCTTTGTCTGTGTGGAAACGGAGGTACGAAGACCTGAAAGAATCGAAGACAAACTCCATGAACGAGGTAAGGAGACACGTGATGAACATGAAAAAATGAAACCGAGGCTTTTCTCTGTTCATATGTGTAACCTGCTGCGCAGTAGGACCAATAGATGAGAGGAAAAAAAGTTAAAAAGTTGAGTTTCCTTCTTAAGAGGAATATTTGAACTCACCTGTCAGTAGTACACCTAGTCAAACTCAGGAGCTAAGAAATCTTGTTCTCAATAACAGGGTTTCTTAATGATTAACTTTTGATACAATAACCTTGATACATTTCCTTTGCATTTGCATTGATCACATTTTGTCATAAACCCTTCGATTCAATGGCTTGTTAATATTCATTATTAAGCCTTATTAATTACATGTATTGTAGGTATTGAAGCATTGTGCTAGGTAGCATGTGGAATAGAATAGCCAGCAGCACAATGAAAAAAACAGGGACAGTATCATAAGCTAAATGTCCACAAATGAGTTATCACTTGATACGTGTGCAATATAGATGTACACACATGTGTATACATGTTCAGACACACAGACTGTCAGCTGTCTAAAGAAGCTGAGTATCTAAATCAGCTGTGAAATTGTGTCTTTTTTTTGAAGATTTATTTATTTATGCATACAAGAACTGGGGTACAGGCCAGAGTTGTGGGAGGGTGAGAGGATTCACCAGAGACAGAATGGGGAGCAGAAAAGGCAGACGACCGAAATAAACTGCTGAGGGGAGCAGCGAGCGAGACAGGAGAGGTCTGCTGCGCCATGTGGCAATCTCCCCAGTCGGCCAGGATCGAACCCGTGCTGCAGAGGCTACAGACAGCTTCACAGCCTGCGCTCAACCGCCTGCACCACGAGGGGAGGCACTGAAATTGTGTCTTAATTTAACAATCAGTTATTAAAAAGTGGTAGTTTTCCTCTTTAAGAAATCTCAAATGAATGTCACTGCAGGTTTGATTCTAGCAAGTGATAATGTTCACTTGAGTTTGCTGAAGTCACGTGAGAGAATGTTCCAGAACCCCAGCTGCCAGCATTTGCCTTTCTTATGGATCATAGGCAGGTATCTGCATGTCCAGCGGAGGGAAGCAGTTACCGTGCAGATTCCAGAATGGTCAGCTGTGTTAACCTTGTGCCCACTGGCACTGGAAAGGAAGGACAATTTGTCCTACTATTCTTAAACACTTCCTGTGAAAAATCATTAATGAATGAAAGGTAATTTCAGTGAGAACCACAAAAGTTTAGTGTAGGCGTCTCTATAGGAAATGTAGCATTCCTCAATGAGGGATAAGTTAGACAATTAAAACTATTTATGTTAAATTTATTTCTCCTTGATGAATTATTGTGAGTTTGTCAGAAAGGTTTAGTTCTATCTTAAATGATGAATTATTTATATATGGATTTCTAACTTGTGGATTTACATGATATGTTTATTTCATGGCATCCTTATTCAAAGTTACCCAGGTACCTGAGTAAACAAGTCTCCGGGTGTGAACACTGAAAGTAAATTAATGTTATATGAGAAAAATAGAATACAAAAGTCATGTTATGCTTAGAATATGCATGTATAGGGCCTCCCCTGGTGGCGCAGCGGTTGAGCACTGGGCTGCAAAGCTGCCTGCAGCCTCTGCAGCGCCAGTTCTATCCCCGGCTGCCGGTGAGGGTCCCACATGGCGCGCAGACCTCTCCTGCCATGCCCGCTGCTCCCCTCAGCAGTGTATTTCATCACTCTGCCTGTTCTGCTCCCCACTCTGGCTCTGGTGAATTCTCTCGCCCTCCCGTGCTTCCGACTGTACCCCAGTGCTTGTATAAATAAATAAACAAATAAATAATAAATCTTAAAAAAAAAAAAAGAATATGCATGTATATGTCCTAACAGGCTTAAAATTTGATGGAGACAATTAAGATATAAGAATAGAATTTAATTAAACAGCTTTTTAACACATGTTGCCACTAGTGGGCAGTGCAGACCTGACGTTAATCTGCCTTTCAAGTAATTTAACATTTATGTAGCAATTGTTCTTGAAAAGTCACTGCTTTTAGTTAGTCTGCAAAGTAATATGTATATTTTTAAATATATTATGTTTTTTATTCAAAGATATATTTTTGATTTCAAATGGGAAAATACCTGCTTTGCATTGCTCAGCAAAGCTTTATACATGAAAAAAATAAAATCAAAGTAGCATTATGCAGTGTAAATTGGATCTATAATTTGATTCCCATACAGAAAGATGTACTCGTACATGTGTGGTGTTTTTTCTAAATAAAAGGATGATAGTATTTTCATAACAGAAGAAACTTAAAATTGTCAAAAACTTGTTCAAACACATGAACTTTTGAGTGCATGTTTCACTTAGATGAATTAAAAATTTGGGCAATGAATAAAAATGACCATGATGGAGTGAATGAAACAAATTTTCTTAATGTAAATGAGGAGATGTTATTATAAATAGATAGAGAAGGAAAATATTTATCTACACAGGGTTATTTATTCCAAATTACTTTTAAACTGTGTTTTTCATATCCTAAAAAGGAATTTGTATATTTGTAGAGCCTCTCTGAAGAGTTGTGGTAGGCACATGTATTAAAATTATTTTATAAAATATCTTAGAATGCTTTAAAGTATTTAAAACTGAACAAAGAAAAATACTTAGTGTTTTTTAAAAATTAATTATTTTATAAATTGTCATTACAGAATAAGCATTTTATGGTACATTTAGAAATGGCTTTTAGAGTAACAAGAAGTGTAAAATATTCAATATTCAAAATATTCCCATATCATGGATTGGTAATCAGAAAAAAATTATCTCATGATGAATTCTCCTGTCTTACTCCTCAAAAAATTCTGATGACATTTGCTTTCACTGTTGCTCTTCTATAAACATTTTTGAATACAAGTGTAAGTCTTTCTTAGATGCCTGAAACTGTTTAGATTATAAGCAAATATAGGCCTGGCAAAGAAGTACTGATAGAAAGATTAGCGATTTTTTGAGTTGGAAACAGATGTGCTTAATAGACCCAGATTTTTAAAAACGTATTTGGAAGTCTGGTGGAAGAGAAATCATTCTTAAATCACTGGCATTTAGAGAAGTAAATCTAGGAATTTAATTGTAAAATCTAAGAAGTATTTTAAAATGAAATTATGACAATGCAAGGTAGAGATGATTGTATTCTAAATGTTGTTGCTCTGCTGATTTTCATACTTATTCAGCTTTTCCTTTGTTTGTAAATATTGATTTGAATTAGATTTTAAATTCCAAGTGTGCTGAAAAGATCATCTTAATGAAATCTCATCATCTAGAGAATCAAACATTCATCTAAGTTATATCGATCACAAATAATTCTCTTCTATTCTTTCACCATCGATGACATTCTTTCCGTCAAGGAAGCTATCCTTCCAAATGTGGAGAATACTGATAACATTTTTAAATTGGCCTCAAGCTGAAAAATGAAATGCAGCTGCTCAATCTTTAAAATTTTTTATGCTTTTACCCAGTATCTTCTTAAGGAATTTATTAAGATGTTTTCTACCTTTTTTTGTGATAACGGCAATGTTTCTAGTAATTTACAATTCACAATGTTCTTTTTATAAGTATTTATAGAGACGTAAAATATTTATAGAGACACAGGCAGTGATGTTATGTTAACTCCATATGGAAGCCTTTTCTCTCAAACGCATCAAAATACCTTTCTGACTTGGGGGAGACAGAGGTTAGAATTATGAGTTATAGGAAGGTAATATTCTATGCATGCTATTTTGCATGCATCAAGAGAGGGATCTTGAAGGTACTTAGATAAGCCTGATTAGTGGAGAATCTCTCTCTCTCTCTCAATGCTACCTTGTGGCTTAAATAAATAAATCACTCCACAGAAGTAGCCAAAGACCAGACTGTATCTTCTCAGCTCTGATTCCCAGGTCTGGCCTACACTGCTCCCTTCCATGTCTGCATGGTCACGTGCAGAGTCACCATCATCTCTTCCTTTGTTCTCTTCCATGTCTCTTCCCCATTGATGTTGGCTGATTCTTTCATTTTTCCACCCAGCAACTGGTGATATTTCTTAGACTGCAAAATGGATCAAATTACACCCAGTTCACCTGCCTGCCTGAGTCAGCTTGGCATTTCCACAGTTGATCTGACATCATCTCTCTTTCCTATCTTCTCTGGCAAGCAATGCCCCCAAATGCCGTGGAGAGTTCCCGACTCACCTCTGATCCCTCCAGGAGGGAGGGCAGCCTTCTTGTACCCAGTGGCTGCTGACCTCCGGGCGCTCAGGGCTCACAGAGTGAGATGTTGCATACAGCGGAGAGAGGACAAGAAGAGCGTGGGGTCGTGTGGGAACTACTTCCCCAGAGAAGTGAGCCTTATTTCCACTTGTGATCTGTAGCCTAGTAACTCTGCATCATGACACCTAATTTTAAGGGTTGTTGAGAATTGTATTCAAGCCAGACTTGTCTTTCATTGGTGGGATGAGGCAACTGCTCTGCAGTTTCCAAGGGGCTAGAATAAACTTGATTTTATTTGAGATTAAATATGGTTTCAGTAGATGCCTATGGTGCGAGGGCAGCGGGCAGACTTGTGATGGTGAATTTATGTGCCAACTGGACTGAGGCAAGGGATGCCCGAGTGTGGATAAAACATTATTTCTGGGTGTCTGTGAGTGTTTAAGGAGGATATTGGCACTTCAGTGAGTCATCTGAGTAGAGAAGTTTGCATCATCTGGTTCAGTGAGAACAAAATAGGCAGAGGGAGGGCGAGTTCCTCTTCACTGGACCCCGGCATCCATCTCCTCCTGCCTCAGACATCTCCACTCCTGGCTCTTGGGCTTTAGGTTGAGCTGGGACTTATACTCATCAGCCTCCACCTCTCAGGCCGTCAGACTTATGCTGAATGACAGCACCCGCTTTCCTGGTTCTCCAGTTTGCAGACTACAGAGGAGAGACGCTCAGCCTCCCTCGTCAGATGAGCCAATTCCTGTGGTGTGTGATATAGACATCCTGCTGGTTCTGTTTCTTTGGAGAACCCCAGTTCACACACA